GAATTATTTGAATTTCTCGAAATTGACTAAATGTATATAAAATGTAGAATATGGAAATGAAAGCTAAAACTTAGGGTTTTATACTATATCACACCAATCTTTGTTCAATTTCTTGTTTTCTCGTAATTTACTGTCAAAGTTGAGGTTATGAAAAAGTCAAAAGAGTCTTTAGATTTATTTGAATTTCTCGAAATTGACTAAATGTATATAAAATGTAGTAGATGGAAATGAAAGCTAAAACTTTAGAGTTTAATACTATATCACACAAATCTTTGTTTAATTTCTTGTTTTCTCTTAATTTACTGTCAAAGTTAAGAGGAGAAATACAAAAGGTCTTTAGATTTATATGAATTCTTCGAAATTGACTAAATGTATATAAAATGTAGAATATGGAAATGAAAGCTAAAACTATAGGGTTTAATACTATATCACACCAATCTTTGTTCAATTTCTTGTTTCCAATTACTGTCAAATTGAGGTTATGAAAAATCAAAAAGTCTTTGAATGAATTCGAAATTGATAAATGTAATTGTAGAAACTAAAACTATAGAGTTTAATACTATATCACACCAATCTTTGTTCAATTTCTTGTTTTCTCGTAATTTACTGTCAAAGTTGAGGTTATGAAAAAGTCAAAAGAGTCTTTAGATTTATTTGAATTTCTCGAAATTGACTAAATGTATATAAAATGTAGTAGATGGAAATGAAAGCTAAAACTTTAGAGTTTAATACTATATCACACAAATCTTTGTTCAATTTCTTGTTTTCTCTTAATTTACTGTCAAAGTTGAAGGAAAATGACAAAAACTTTAGAGTTTAATACTATATCACAAAAATATTTGTTTAATTTCTTGTTTTCTCTTAATTTACTGTCAAAGTTAAAGGAAAATGACAATAATGTCTTTAGATTTATTTGAATTCTTCGAAATTGACTAAATGTATATAAAATGTAGTAGATGGAAATGAAAGCTAAAACTATAGGGTTTAATACTATATCACACAAATCTTTGTTCAATTTCTTGTTTTCTCTTAATTTACTGTCAAAGTTGAGGTTATGAAAACGTCAAAAGAGTCTTTAGAATTATATGAATTCTTCGAAATTGATTAAATGTATATAAAATGTAGTAGATGGAAATGAAAGCTAAAACTCTAGAGTTTAATACTATATCACACAAATCTTTGTTCAATTTCTTGTTTTCTCTTGATTTACTGTCAAAGTTGAGGTTATGAAAAAGTCAAAAGAGTCTTCAGAATTATATGAATTCTTCGAAATTGATTAAATGTATATAAAATGTAGAATATGGAAATGAAAGCTAAAACTTTAGAGTTTAATACTATATCGCACCAATCTTTGTTTAATTTCTTGTTTTTTCGTAATTCACTGTCAAAGTTGAGGTTATGAAAAAGTCAAAAGAGTCTTTAGAATTATATGAATTTCTCGAAATTGACTAAATGTATATAAAATGTAGTAGATGGAAATGAAAGCTAAAACTTTAGAGTTTTATACTATATCACACCAATCTTTGTTCAATTTTTTGTTTTCTCTTAATTTAATGTCAAAGTTGAAGGAAAATGACAATAATGTCTTTAGATTTATTTGAATTTCTCGAAATTGACTAAATGTATATAAAATGTAGTAGATTTTCTATTTCAGTTTTATTAGTTATAACTAGAGAACAATGTTGTTGGATACGTTTCATTTTTAATTAATGATACATTTTTTGATACATTAACAACTTGCTGTGAAAATTGAAATTATGAAAATGAAGTGACTTAGCTCTGAGTTGGTCGACAGGCTGCACAAATTTGTACCTTCAGAATCTTCCTTCATTCACGAAGAAGGGCTTTATTGAACACATTAACACTCTGGTATATTTTAGTGCTGATATTGGTCTGAAAATGATCCATACCGAAAGTCGAGCTGATTTGCTCTTGGCTCTCAGGCGTTGTTGGT